GTTATATTTGGATTTGGTATTTGTACATTTGAGTTTGTTCCGCACAATTGTGTACTAAAATTTCCTATTGCACATTTGAACTTTTTATGTGGCGTGAAACTTTCTATGTAGCATTTGAACTTGCTATGTGGCATTTGTATATATATATATATATATATATATATATATATATATATATATATATAATAAGTGGACCTGGGAGGCTTTGTGCACAAACTCCTCCCTTATTACCAACCGACACCTTTGAAGCTTTCCAGGCGTCCACAGCATCCATGTGGCTAGGACCTAACTTTAAAAAATCTACACAAACTGCTCTCCCCGATTTTTCCAAAATGCTTTGTGTCGTCCACACAGAGTTCTAGGCCTAGGCTTACTAGAGACTATAAAGAAAAAGAGTCTCTGAGCTAGGCTAACTTACGATCAACAATTTCGCTGTCTCATTTTTAAAAACTAAAAACCGGAAGTCTTTTCTGGAACCAATTTTTTCATGACGTCAAACCTCCCTTTTCAAACATTCAGGACTGATATTTCGCGAGGCGCATTTTGTTTTGAGAGTATAGATCTAGACCTTCTAAATTTTTGGTAAATATAGTAGGCCAATGACTTTCAGTTGATGTTAATGCACCGATTACTCCTTTCATCGAAAGGGGGCCCTGCTAGTTATTTATATTTTCTAAGATAGCGCACCAAGAAACAGATTTTTAGCGATGCACGTTATCTTGTCAGTATGCAAGCATATAGATGTGTACTGTGAGGAAATATTAGTAGACCTGGAGATTTTTTTTAAAAAATGTTTTTAGTAAGTGTTTTACGGCCCTCGCAACTGCATAAGGTCATATGAGCATGCGGACACACCTAACATTTTCAGTTGGTGGGAAATTTTGAATTTTGCCCGGTGGCGGGCGAAACCCACTCTTATATATTTTGGACCACCAAGGGATCTTTAACGTACGTAACTTGCACACGCGACCTTAGAAGTTTTTCGCCTTTGTCTGAGACGACTAGGTGTAGATCTTTCCAACTATAAGATCAGGGGCGTGGTTGAAAGACAGCAGTAAGAATGAGCCATGGAGAAGCAATGGAAAGGCTTCAGAAAGAGTCAGGAACCCAGAAGAGAGGGGCATAGGAGGTGAGGAGGTGGGGGCAGAAAGTGAAGACGAAAGCAGACAACAGAATATCGCTAGAGAGCAGGAAAGGAGGTGAAAGGAGACAATTTTAGAGAAGAATTGTTTTTCCCGTCAATACCCGGATTCGAACCGTGACCTTTGAATGAGAGGTGAACCCCTTAACCTCTAGGCCACGAGAGCCCCCCTGGGAGGTCTGTTTGAATAAACTACTAAAGGCTCCCAGAGGAGAGGGAAGACTTTTCATTAATTGGGAATTCTGAAAGATTATAAACTGACCCTTGTCGTTCTGCTTTTTTCCTTCGCAAATTGTTGCGCGTGTACCACTAATACTAAACACTAATACGGTAATACTAAAGATACTCTACCCTCTAATAGAAGCCCCCTAACTTTCCCACTGGATTTGATGGTCATATATGCTCCTGTTCACCACCTTATCTCCGTAATAATATGGACCATGTGTTTAAACACTTTGACCCGTTCCCTGGACATTGATTTGACAAGACAATTCCCAACTGCATAAACACACGCCTGCATAACACACACACACACACACACACACACA